CGAAACACGAATTTGTGGCTGTCAGCAGCAGAAAACTAATACGCAAAAATTTATAAAATTATAAGAATTTTAGAGCTAAATGTAATACCTTCTCATGCATTCCTATATGTACTTAAATATGTGTAACATTAAATAAATAATATCATCGAAGACAGCTGTAAGTTTTAACTGTTGTATATACAATAGAATTTGTATTTGTGTATCCCCATGCTTGTATGAAAATACTTATATTTAATGTTCAAATAAGCAAATTACAATTTTACTGATAATAATTTAAAAGCTAGTGCGGAGAACACAAATTATAAACATCTGAATTTGTATTTAGTTGATTGTGCTTTTAGCTGTATTAAAGTTTTTGTTCATCCCAAAAATATGCAACGTAATGCGAATATGTTGAACATTTTGCTCATAAATTTGACAATTGATTTATATGGTCCGGTTAATAACGCTGACATAAACATATGTATTTGTGTAAGTTGTAAATAAATTATAAAAAAAAAAAATTGTGAAATTTTAAGTAATTGTCAAATTTTTGCTGTTGCTTTTGGCAGTAATTTTTGGTCGGAAAATCAAGAAAATATAAATATATGCAAAATTCAATTGAAAAGTACGTTTTCACCTGCGACTTTTACTTTAATTTTAACTGGCATTTTGTGATTCATCATTCCAACTTGTGCCACCATCGCGACCCTGGCTTGCGTATTTAAAAAAAAAAAAACAAAAACGAAAACCCTTTGAACTCAACCTTCCTGTGCTGGCTTGTTTACTTTGTGTTGCATTCGACTGATTCTAGGAAAGGCAACCATCTGGCAAAGTCGAGTCTGTGAGTTACATTTATATATTTTTTATTAACAGAGCTACTTAACTTATCGACATTATACTCCAAAGTAACATACTATTAAATTAATCACATAATTTTTTTAAATTACAAGTTTTTCACACTTTTCGGAAAATCTTTACAACCTTGTTGCACATTTTTCGCAAAGTCCACGCCCCCTGGCTAGAAAATGCTGGTGCGGAATTGGTAAAATTTTTAATTTCGTTCGATAGGGCTGCCATCTTATTTTCAAAGCTCTTAATAAAATGTTTATGGCAACGATCTTTGACCAAGCCAGGCCGAAGAAGTAATATATTTATACATTGGAATTACGCGTTCTTTTCTTTGGATGGGACAAGAACCCGAAAAATAAACATATCTAAAAAATTTGCAATAAAACATAATTTAGTAGAATCTATCACTCGAAGGCTCTTAACATATTTTAGGTTGCTTAGACAAACGCCTAATATATGCATGGAGTCTCTTTCATTTGTATGAAAATTTGTGCAAATGTGTTTCACGCTTCAGAGCATTAATTCACATTAATTCGCTTGCCTGGCCTTAATGCCTGAATATGTAGTAAATAATTTCTTGCTTGTATTTGTCAGTGTTTTCTAAAACACTTAAAAATAAGTTGTGCAAAAGCCTATTTTATTTACTTTAGTTTATCGAACATTCAACGGAAAACTTACCCCAGCACACGGTGATTTTATATTCATTCAGCTATTTAAAATGTACACGTTAGCATTTCGAGTGCATTTAAAGTAAATCCCAATGGCATTTAGTGCATATTTCTTAAAAAATATCAGAAGAAATTTCGAGGAAATGTATCTTTCACTACATGTGTTACGAATGAAGTTTATGTAAAAGAGAAAAAAATTAACAATGAGGATTTCTATAAGCTGTCAATCAAAGACAATTTAAACATAACAGATATATTCTATCTTATATAATCCTAAAAAAAAAAAACCGGCAATACAATATAATATAGTAAATGTTATATATTCTCCCCACAACATTTATTATCGTTATGTGAGCATTTATTTTCCAAGAAAAACTTCTTTGACTCGGGTTACGCAGGAGTAACAACAATTGTTGCGTCAATTGTGGAGACTGCGGAGCTAAGGGATGGAATAGAATTAGAGAGGCATATGTGGGAAGGAATACTAATTGATTTTAAGTAATCACTAGCAAAAATTGTTTTTCCGTGAAAACTCGTGCAAATACTTTCCGCAGAGCTGCGACACAAGTAATAAATCCTTCGAGTAATAAATCCTTACATATATAAATAATCCAATTTAATTAGAATATATTGCAATGCTCCAAGCAATTTGAAAACTGTGGCAAACATATCCACTGGCTTTTCAACGACATTCCTGTCTCAGCAGCATTAATGCGCCAATTTGCTTGTTGTGATAACTTGGCGATAAACCCTATTTACTGCTATATGCTGTTTGTTTTTTTTGTTTAGCAGCCTACAACACATTTAGCCTAATAGGATTTAATGGTTTTTTATGGGAGAAAAGCAAAGAGAGAATGACACCAGCAAGGGCATGGAAAAGATTCCATTGAAATATCGTTCAATGGTATGAAAGCATAAAATAACAATTTGCATAATAAGATGATTTTTCGGCTAGCGGTTTCTAATGCCTTGTCGCCGTATCGAGTTTTTTGCACTCGCTTAAGGTCATTGTCATGACAGCAAAAGCCTTCAAGTTCAGATGAAAAGAATCCCTTTATGCCATTGTATGACTACCGCATGGATATCACATGCGTTTGCTTGTCACGTTGCCCAAGCAACAGACATCCACATTCAACAGTCGGCAAATGTTTGCGGCATTCCAAAGGAGGGGTGAGGGGCGGCAGATCACGGCGTCTCAGTTTGCGCCCACCAAGATGTAACTGCTTGTAGTCACATTAAATAGCAATCAATTCCCCAATGATATGCACAACATATGTTGGTAAGTAGTCCATAAAAAAACGGGATTTAAGAATACCCGACTAGAATATATCCTGAACGCAGCGTCGAGCTGCATAGCATACAAGCGTCTTCTATACGTGTTCTGCTTCTTCTTCTAGCTACATATTAAGTTTGTACAGTGAGACCCTTATTCAATTTTTAGGTCACAATTATGGAACGCAACTGTATGTCTGTACCAAACAAAAATGTGTAATATATTTTTAATTTACATACGAAGCTCCGTGTATATAGCTGCAATATGAGTAAAAACAAATAAATTCTTAGCTCTAGACATGGACATGACTATGAATGGAATAAATCAAGAATGTGTACACTTGATAAGTTCGGAAATGCTTATACCCATTTTGCCTACTTTAAATGGACTCAGAGTATGAGAAAAGAAATGCTTTAATTTTAATAAACGCGCAAACAGTTGCCCAACTAATTGGCAAATCTAAAGAAACGATTATGTTATTCAACAATTAATCTGATATTCTGCGAAAATGCCTTTGAATTATTCTATTTAATTACAGGTAACAATGGAAACTTTTGACAAGCAAGAGAATTATACGATTTAATCTTCTTGGTGAATTTTTAAATTTAATTGCCATAATAGCAGCTGCATATTACAGTACTTAACTTAAAGTAAGATATAAGTAATTAATTAATTAATGCTCAGAAATTTTAGTCGAACTAAAACATTTTTTTCTAGGCAACAACTTTATTTTCCAACTTGTCGTTTCCATGAATTATTCATTACAGGTACATTATTATCAAAAAGTAACCAAATACATAACTCTTGAAAAAAAATGCCTAGCACTTTTATCTCTAAACTAAGGTTGAATATTTACTCCAAATTTAATGTCTGTATAATAAACCTAATAACTTGAAGCTAATATTGAAATATCCGACAACAAATGAAAAGTAAGAGACTAGTTCGTATGGTCATAGGAAGTCGATTATGTGGTATATTAAGTAGAGTCGAATATCTCCCAATTTAATTACAATATTACAAAATATTGATTAAAAAACAACAAGAATTTGTTGACTATTTAAATTGAACTCAATTCAAGCCACGGAAATTGCAGAAGGGATTATTGGGGCCACATCCCGACCGATTTTTCCCCATACGTATACAATTTAAATATCTCGTGTACTTCTGGCATTTAAACAAGGCGCTAATTTGACATGACATTTAGAGAAAGGGTCATCAGCTTGACAAAGGTCGAGCATGTTATAAAATATGTGTATGTAATTCAATATATTTTCGACCGAAATTATTTTTGCTTCTTTCGTATACCAATACAAATGTCATGTCACTGTCAAATGCAAAAGCTATTCCAAATTGTATTTTTCGTATGAAATTCTAATAACAAATTCAACTTCGCATTTTACTGCAGATATTTCAAATGCTATTTTTATCCTATACTTATGCAAAATTGTTAAAAAGGGTATTATGAAGTTTTGCAAATGCATCAGGCAAAAGTTGGCATACCTGACCCCAAGAAGTATTTATGTATATAGATTCTTGATGAGCATCATCAGTTGAATCGGGCTAGCCATGTCTAGTCATCTATCTAGATTATATATAGGTATGAGCAGGTAAGCATGAATTAAAGATTCGGCTATTCGGGGCTAGATACAGGGTAGCTCCTAGTTGATTACTCTTCCCTAAAAGCTTTTGGTGCACAGGAAACCTAAATCGAATGTGGAGTCAATCACAAAAACGAAAAAACAACAAGTACGCATAACATACAGCATCAAGAGCAAATAGAAAACCTGACATGGGATGTAGTAGGTATGGGCCACGATTGGAATATATGCATGTATAACGAATTGAAAGGCATAGAACTTGGATACGAGTATATTTGCAAAAATACCAAGCCGTTTATTAAATACATAAATACTAATTCGCAAGTCGCAAACACTCAAACAAGTCGATGGACTAAAAAGACACCGTTTTAGGCTAAGCATTGGGGATATAATCAATCAAATCAAATATTTCTGTTTGGTTAGTTTACCCTTAAGCCTTTGACATTGCAAAGCTAAAGAATATATATTATGTAAGTTGTTCTACATAATTTTACATTTGGAGTCTGAGCTTTGTGTTTTTTTTTTTGACAGTATAGCTTGCTTACTTATTGATAAAAGTAAAATAGAATGGAGTGTTAGTTTGCTTCGTTAAATCAGAGTAGTCTGTTTTATAGTTATCATAGAGTCAGTTATTAGAACACAATTTTAAGAACAAATATCGTTCAGTCCAAGATTTTAACTGCTCCCAACATATATTTCGTTTAAAATAAAAATTTCTTTCAAAATGATTGGAATACTTGTAAATAAAACATCCCTTGGCGTTGTGGCTGGTTTGGCCAGTGCCGCATTCCTTGGGTATTGCGTCTATTTCGATAGTAAGCGCCGGAACCATCCCGAATTCAAGAAGAATCTCTACGAACGCCGTCGCCGCAACCGAAAATCCGATGAGAACGAGGGCGTGCCAGTTTTAACTGATCAGCGATCGATCGAACGGTATTTCATGCAAGAAATCCATAAGGGCGAACTGCTGATCACTGAGGGTAACTTTGAGCGCGGCGTCGACCACTTGGTGAATGCGATTGTTGTCTGCAACAAGCCTGGCAAGTTGCTCAGTGTCCTGCAGTCGACGCTGCCAGTCGAGGTGTTTTCTTTACTCGTATACAAGTTAAATAACTACAATATAAACGCCCAACGACCGCCAAGTATGGCCGACAATTTAATCACTGGACTCGTTGCTGACGACGGGAGCGTCGAATAAGCCATCGAAATCGTCAACTCAAAATGCCAAATTCCTATTTGTTGTTTCAAGATTCAAGTTAATCCGTTCAAAAAATAATATATGTGCATGTGTAAACGAACTTAAAATTGATTGATGAACTTTTAATTACTGAAATAGCTTACTTATTTTTTAATGCTTTTTGGTTTATATAATTACGAATAACTGCCATCAAAATAATATTTTTAAATGAAATGTTTTACAATATTCCATTTTTAAATTCAAGTAGCTAACTTGCTCAAGTCCTTAGCATACTTTTTAGAGTATCAAAATGGAACCCAACTTTTTGTGTGCGTGCTTGTCTCACAGACAAATAACTTTATTTTCAAACAGAATCGTGATAGGTTTCGTGCAGAATGGTTGACTAGTATACTCAGATACCCTGTGTCCAGGTCGAAATAGGTAAACAATATTTATGCAATATGGGCCATGTTATATTGAAAACCAACAAAAAAAATGTTGAATTGCTTTTGATATATGTGGGCGAAATTTCATATTTAATGGCTGTAGCTCTCACAACTTATTCGGATGTCGATTTTTAGCCAGAAATGATCGAACCCCGTTGTTGATGTCGGTAGAATTTAAATACTTTTATAACGCCCGTTACAAACGTTTGTACAACTTTATAATGCTATTTTTTATACTCTGAACCCATTAAAAATGGGTATAAGGGTATATTGTATTTGTGCAAAATCCAAATGTATGCAACAGGCAGAAGGAAGCTTCTCCGACCCCATAAAGTATATATATTCTTGATCAGCATCAATAGCCAAGTCGATCTAGCCATGCCCGTCTGTCTGTCCGTCCGTCCGTCCGGCCGTATATACGAACGCAAGGATCTCAGAACCTATAAGAGCTAGACTTGAAATTTTAGATGTAGGTGCTCCTAGTGACCGCGCAGATCGAGTTTGAGATATCGATATCCTGTTTTTTGGGCAATTTTGGTAAATAAAAAGAGCTTAGAGTCACCAGACTTGACATATAGCTTTTAATGTAGAATATATACATGCATTTGATGTTGGAAGAAGAGGGTTCAGGGTATCCCCTAGTCGGGAGCTCCCGACTAGAACCTCTTACTTGTTTTATCTTTTTACAGTGCGTGGGGAAAAAACTGTAAAAACTTTTTCCGCGATAATTGACAATTCAGCTACGCAAATGATAAATAAGAAAATAGTAATGGACTCGTAATTTCAAATTTCTCATTAATTTCCTGACTAACACATTTTGGTCAGCTATAGCTGGATTGCTTGGCTGTATTTCCGCTTGGCAGGCTGAACTTAATCGTTTGACGAAACAATTAAAAGCTGATTTGGCGCACAATCCGTACGTCAAAATTAACAAGATATTTGCATTGTTCGCACCCGGACCATTGTTGCCATGTCTCTGTTCCTGATTTGCCTGGACTCACTGCTCACATACAAAATGGTTGTCGGTGCCTTTCCGGTTGCATAGATACAAATATACATATATCTCGTACTTGACAGCCAAATAAACTGCACACTGGAGGGTTTATTGATGTCCGACTCTATACAGTTGATACCCTGACTCCGTTTGTGTGCATAATTTGGTAGCAAGTCGACCTCAGCGCACGGGACATTTGTCATTTGCAGCCAACACCGCAGCATCTATTGCACTGTAGGGCATGTCTATGCGGGTATTGACTGGAACGAAGTGACCTTTACTCCCTGTGAGTCGATGGACTCACGTTCCTCCTCCACTCCACAGTACTGCACTGACATGCGCTTTAAACTGTGTTTATGCAAACTTGCGTCTTCTGTTTGTCTTGGGTCTTAAAGCCGTGGTGGCCATTATTGAAACATGGTCCGTATATTAACCCCAAGCACCAAGCTGACACATCTCACGGCACTTAAACAAGGGCCACATTTGTCTGGGTCACGTCATAGAAAAGGTCGTTAATCTACAAAAAGTTTAGATAAGAATTTGGCGCGCTTTTTGCGCCTTCGATTTCTATGCGGGATCCTTTGATTTGGGTCTGCTTTTGAAAACCAAATCCAGATTAGCTCGAGAGTCTTTCACAATCCGCTGCTCTGCTTTTACAGCGCTCTTATGGATTGCTGCCTTCATACACAATAGGGCTGTCAATGGATTAAACCGTATATAGAAGCACAGTACTGGGATATTTATTTGGTGGAATTCAACACTGCCGCTGCTGTGGTAAACAACAAAATGCACGTCAAAGTAATTACATAATGCGCTGTTTGTCCGCCCCATTGTCTTTCAATTAGGAGATAGGACAAGGCACTCGTCTGAGTGGAACGCGACCGTAAAGTCAAGGATGCTATGGAGGCGTCAGTCTCGGCGCCGCTTTGTTCTCAGACTAATTTCTAAATTGCGTCACTGGCAACAGGCAAAAAATTATAAAAATGCTAGACGTGCACAAAAAGATTTAGCTCAATACAAAAATGGAAAAAAAAAACATAATTTTATTTAATGAAAAATTTTTTGATATCCCTGTGGTCCTGACAGCGGCAGCTCTGACATTAATCCAGTTTAGGCAGCTCCCGCATTTCGTTAGCATTCATAAATCATATTTGCATGTTTGTACATATGTACATACATATATTAATTAGATTTGTGACGGAAATACCTCCCGTCCAGGCAATCTAACTTTGTTAGCGCTGATAAAGTCATTAAGAGAATCAAAATATGATATGTCCTGGGAACTGAATGTGGGAAAAATAGCAAGCTATGTGATTTTCCTGCTCATTATAACGAGGAGCTTAGTTAATATATAAATGCTTACTAGGATCGGAGATGCCCCCTTCTGACTGCACAAAACTATTTACCCTTTTTCCATATTCAATGGGTTCTGGGTTGGAAAATTAAAATAACATTTTTCTGAATTTTTGCTTAAGTTAATTGTGATACATGCAAAAACTAGGCATATCTGCTGACATTATAGCAAATTGAATTAAAGTTCCATAAATAACCGCTTCAAAATATGGAAAATAAATAGGCTACAATATTTTCAGGCCGCTTGGCCCCACAGCAAAACACATGTTAACTTGAATAAACAACAAGAAAAAACAAATATGCAACTTTGATATGCCGAACTCTAGATACCCTCATACACCTTTAACCTGTATAGGTAGATAGGTATTGCCTTCAGCAAAGGCATGTGACTCGGTTTGACATCGTAGACATATCTTTGCTTGAAAGATCAACAATGTTTACTTTAATACATTGCACTAGTAATATATAATATCCTATGTAAGTGAATAAAAAACGAAATAATCCATGACAATGTCAGTACAAAAAGTAGTTTGCTCTTCTAGGTGTACATTTGTAATTTGTAAATTTGCATAACCTGCGGTCATATAGTAAAAAAAAATTATAAAATCTGTTATTTCATTTGCAGTTCTACAATTTCTAAACCTCTTCCAAAATAGGCAAATTTAAAAGTGAGAGAACGAAAATGTTGGATTCGCGCACAGTCGATTTTGAGCTACGCCCTATAAGCTTAATTTTTTAATGGACGCGTAGTCTTTATTTATTTCGTAGTATATATTTCAAATCTAAAGTCTCCATTGCATTCATCCAAAAGAGACAAAACCAATATACTCCTCTCAGTTTTTGAAGGGCATCTTATGATCGAGTACTCTCGTTTAAAGCATTCGTTGATTGTTCGTTGTTTTTTTTTCAGCCTTCAACTATAAAAGTAACAAAACTCTCAACACATTTTATCCAGCACAGACATTTATTCCCAACTGTGAATATATGAGTGTCTCCCTGCGTATTGTAGTGTGCGCGTGTGGCTATATGTGCGTGTGGGGTATTTTGTCTGTGTGTGTATCAAGTTTTATTTCATATTTTTTTCAGTTTTTCGCACGTTGTACAATTTGTGCCCTCAGCTGTTTTAAATTACATTTTTATGTTTGCGTTCTGAAGTGAAAAGTCAGTGAAACTACAGAAAACTCGTCATTTTCCTCTGCCTCGTCAACTGTTTGTGTGACCCAACGGAAAACAAATGGAAATGAACTGCAATCATCCAGTGGAAACGGCGTGCAATACAAAAAAAAAGTTGTACATTACCGTTTCTAAAATATGTGTAAAAAACAATCGACTGAGGATACGCGAGCTTTAAATAATATTTGCATTAAGAAAGGCAAGAAATAAATGGTATGTTCAAGACGTAATATGAAATAAAAAAGCACTCCCAATAGTTAAAAAAAAAGTTTATAAAATAAAGTTCTGAATTAAATTAAGTCCTTTTCACTAAAGAGAATTTATATATATATATATATATATATATATTATATATTATATATATAATATATAATTTATTTCAGAAATGTCTAGTAAACGATTTGTAGAAACAACGTAAAAGGATTTTTTTTTAATTTGTTTGTACTTTCTTTAAAAATAAGATAAGGTCCTTCAAATGGTTATTATTTTACAATAATTTTCTTAAGAAATCTTCTTTCTATAAAGTGATTTCATGAAATCACATACAAGCATTTATTTTGCCTTGACCTAATTTAAAACTATGTTTATATTCACAGAACTCTCATTAATTTAAAACATATTTTAAATAGAGGTAAATACTATAGCTGCTTCTAACAAACGTCTTTAGAAATACATTCCAATGTTATATTCTTTAGAAGATGCATTGTTGTAAACTGTAAATAGTAATCGTTTTCACCTATACTTAAACAAAGATAAGATTCTCGGAATGTCTATTATTGTACAATTTACTTTAAATTATGCTATATACTATAGTAGTTGTGCACACTTATTAAGATATTAATTTTAATGTAGTTAGCTTTAGAAAGTGTATAAAAAACCTTTCGACGTGATCCAGATTAGGCTTAGGATTAGTTTTCTGTACTTAATATAAGGAACTGGTTGCAGGCATTAAGTTCTTAAACATTTCTTGCTAAATACAATTTAAGCTGATTTGGCAGTGTAACACAGTCAGTTGATCGTCCATAAAAAAAATATTACAGTAAATCAAGTTTTATGACTTTAATTTTTAGTATGCCCAGCAAAAAGAAAATAAAAATCCCACCATCTTAAAGCTGAGAAAACAACAATAACAGTATCAAAAAGTGGAACAGCTGCAAGTGCGCTTGTCTGCAAAGTTTTAAAAAG